AGTGGGAGGAAAGAGGGAGGGGTATTTGGGGGAGCCGTGTGTCGGCAGGAGAGAGGGAGGGGTTTTCTAGGAAAGCAGGCTGAGGGGTCAATTAATTTCAGAGCGCCTCATGACTTCATGCTTTGCTCGGCCCGAGGAGGGGAGTTAGAGGGGAGGGGGTCTACGAAGATACTGGCTGGGGGGGGGAGATAATTAAAATAGTTTACAGCCATGCTAGCAGCTCTGTGAGGCTGCAGCTAAATGCTAACACTACAATGTTCTTTTGTTTATGTATTCCAATATCAAAATGTGCATCACAGGGGCTTTAGAGCAGCAGCAGGAATGATAACAATTGAAATGCTAATAAAGATAAGAGGTACTTTAATAAACAAGGGTTTTGCAGTTTTAATGTGTAACTGTTCACCGTTTTAANTGTTCTTTTGTTTATGTATCCCAATATCAAAATGTGCATCACAGGGGCTTTAGAGAATAGGACACTCCGTTAACACAGCACCTTGCAGCAGGAATGATAATTGAAATGCTAATAAAGATAAGAGGTACTTTAATAAACAAGGGTTTTGCAGTTTTATGTGTAACTGTTCACCGTTTTAATGTAAGTTGTTAGCATTTGCTTTATAGCATTAAGCTCAAAAGTACAGCTGATGGGAATTGGGGCTATTTGACAGACCAGTAGGGGCGCTCAATTAATCGTATTTTAATCGAAATAACGATTATTTTTTTAAATACATTTTTTTTGTATTGGTTTTTCAGTTGAATTATATTTAAAGTTCAGGGTAATCAACTGTTAAAAACATATTGTGCAAAAAAAAATTCTCCCATAAATTGATATTTTCAAAGTAAATGGATAATTGTTTTTAATAATCGTGACTTCAATTATGACCCAAATAATCGAGATTATGATTTTTGCCATAATCGAGCAGCCCTAATAACCAGCACGTTTTGGCAATATTTCCATTTGCTAGGCTGTACTTTATGTAGATGGTTTCGAAATAAATTGGCATTTAAATTGACCATGCTACAAGAGCAATGTTTAACCACATTCAGTGAAGGCTTGTGGATGTTAACCCGCAAGAAGAGCAGGCCAAACCCATAGGACGTGTGTAAAAGCCACAACAGGAATACATTGTGATCCTGCTGGTTTCAAAACATGGAGTGCTGTCCAAGTTTAAACACATTTCATAGGGAAATTAGTCACAAGAACATCCCCGATGTGAATGGCATAAGCTAATCAAGTATTTGGTCATATATCAAAGCATTGGGCGGATACAAATTCATCCTTAAGATGGATCACCAAAATGTTGCCATTAATCCAGAGGGGATTGTTAGAGTTCACCGATCTTGACCATTATCCAGTTGTTGAGATATTTTACTCAGAACAACAGACGTAGACCAAATGGTGCTACAAGAAAGGTCAACAAAATCAATAGTATTCATCCTCAGGGGGACATGAATAGATGGATTTCCACAAATGGAGATTTTTGCCTACAATAAGCAGCAGCGTTTTTATAAAGTTAATGAAAAAGGAATATCAGGAGATCACGGTGAAGGAGGAGAAGGGAGGGGTGAGAGAAACAAAAAGGGAATGGAAGTAGGACCAATGAGTGGAAAAGTGGACACTATGGATGATTAATGAGGTGGGGCGGGGGGAAGGGGGAGAGCTTTGATGGCCAGAGGGGGAGACGGTCTGAAGATCAGCTGCAGTCATGAGCCGCAACATTACATCATCTGCCGCGAGAATAAGAGTTCAACAAAGAGGAAGAAGGCCGAGCCCCAGCCACAGTGGACGCCATTGTAAAAGAACTGTAAAGATCTTGTATTACTGCTCGAGGATTCCCCTAAAACAATCCCTCCTTTGGAAAGACAAATATGCAGTTAAAGTCTCTCCAACTCCCTCGAGCGCCCCTTGATCTCACTTTTTAGAATTCCCACATACTGTAGGAGGTCAGTGTTTTAGTGAAAGAAGTGGAAAAACAACGTCTTTGTTAGAACAGCACTTTGTCTTTTTTAGATCCTGACTACACATCTCTTTTTTCACCAATAACCACGCCTTTGTTGGTGCTGGGTCCCAGGGGAGCTTTTAAAGTTATCTGAAGTTTATAGTCTTGTGATTTGGAGCTAAAGCGATGTCCAGACATTAACCAGTTCAAGAGGAAATACAGAGAAATTATTTTCTCAAGGTACAGGGATGGGGAAGGTGTATGTATATGTTAATCAACAGGTAAAGCAGATTAATAATAATTATTGCAGATTATAAATAAATCATTTAGGGACAAGGGGGTGAGACTAAATAAATTATACTTCTTCTCACTCCTTTTCTAACACTAGATGTGGACTGTTTATGTTGCTAATGTTGTTGTTGTGAATGTCATTTTTTGTTTTGATTTCTCTTACATGACTATGCACTGCAACATTTGTTTTGTAATTATTTATAAGAAATAAATGTATTAATAAGAAATAAATGTATTAATCAATCAATTTGCCATCTTATTGCTGGAGTAATCACTTGAACATCCAAAATGTGTGTTAATTTGTAGCTGCAAGCACAATTTATTCAAGTTTGAAAACCATTGCCAGCCAGTAGCCAGTTAGCTTAGCACAAAGACTTGAAAACAGAGGAAAAGGCTAGCCTAGCTCCCATAACTGTATTTAAATTATGTGCGGGCATGTATGCATGTTGGTATGGATGTGTGAGCATATGTTTATAGATATATATTTATTCGTATTATGTGGAAATGCACTGCAAGGATTGCTTTTTTTGAATTTCGTTGTACCTGGTGCGATGACAATAAAGGGATTATATTCTATTAAAACTATGACTAATCAATTTTACACTTAGGCATTAGTACGGGTTAAACAAACTTGATGCTAGGCTATATGTTCATTAATGAGTTTCATGTAGATTGTGTTAGTTCTGAAAGCCTATTGGGCCATTTTAGGTACAGATGTTTACAACCTGTGTGCTAAGCTAAGCTAACCAGGTGTGGTTAAGCTAACCAGGTGTGGCTGTAGCTTTGCTGTACATGAGGTGTATTGATTTTTTTTCCCCGAACTAGGCACCAATGGGGTTTGGGGCTGAGAGCTACGGACTATTTGTTGGTCTTTGTCAAAAATATAAATCATCCTTATAAAAAAATTTTAAAAAATGGTTTACGCATGATTGGTGATAGGTGAGGTTTGAGCCCGTTTGTCTGGCAGACAATACTGGAAAAATAAGACAAATATTTTACGGGAGTGTTTGTTAGCCCGGGGAGTTGGCTCCGAGCTGCAGGAGGAGATGTCTGCTCTGCTGCTTGTGTGCATCCAGTCAGGCGAAGTCAAAGAGAGTCACATGTGTGCTTCTCCTATGTCTTTTGACCTTATCCTTCAGAGGAGTAACATCTGAAGGATATCAGTTTTAATCTATAAAAAGGTTGGAAAGGAACCAAAACAGTCGTAGAAAAACCAAATAAATGATCTGATTGTTGCAAAAACACCCTAGAGCTACGAGAAGTTCAGTGATCCTTGTGTGGATTCGTGACTGGCGATCATGTGACCCTAGTCAAAAGCTTGACCTTAGCAGCCTTAATAACTGTCGTCATATTTCCTGATCAATAAAGAACAGTAGAGTTCAGAGGACACAACACAAAGTCCTCAGTTAAACACACTGAACACTCAAACGGCCTCTTAACGCCTCATAAGGGCCTGTAATGTTCTCTTCCTGTCGTAAATGGACGCTCTGTGTTGCGGAAACACAGCGTGGCCTTTGTTAACGTGTCACACCTCCAGCACTTTACATGTTACACGCCTCCAGCCAATGCATGACTGGACGTTAAATACCTAAACTTTTATGCTCCACAAATAGCAATTAGCTACCCCGCAGTGCATGAAGCTCCGGCCACTGATGCTCGCTGAGAAGATGTAAAAAGTCAGCTGAGTGTGTGGGGGTGTGGGGGTGTGTGTGTGTGTGTGTGTGTGTGGGTGTGTGGGTGTGTGGAGATGATGCTGAAGTGAGGCTGCACCATGTGACTATCAGCATGACAGCACTGGAGGGTTCGGACCTCTTTGTGCCAAGACCGCCAGACTTTTATTTAAACTAGTTATTATGATTCAAGATTAAACTAATATATTGCCAGGTATATGAATCCATAAGTTGAGTTCTGTGTTGTATTAATAATGTAAACCTGCAAAGTAACTAAAATGTTGTCGAATAAATGTAGGAAAGGAAAATAGGACAATATTTTCTTTAAATGATTTCATTGGATGTATAAACATAAAAGGGAAATGCTCAAACAGCACTTGGGTAAATGTACTCGATTACTTTCCAAAACTGCAGGTGAAGAACCCCCCCCCCCCAATCATATTTGAGATGAGTGGCAGTTAGTAAGTCTGTATGGCTTGGAAACCGGAGGGTCGCCGGTTCAAGTCCCCGAATGGACCAAGTACTGACTTTGAAAGGTGCCCTAAAGCAAGGCATCAGACCCCCACCATGCTCCCTAGGCTCTGTATAGTTGCCCACTATCCCCAATTACTAGGATGGATTAAATATCTATTTCTTAAATTCACTGTGTGTGCGGTGCAACGACAAAATCTGAATCCTCACCTTGTCGCTCAGGTTCTCTCCCTTCTCAAACATCATCTTGAGGCTGTTTAGGGGGACGCTGGGCTTCTCACATTCGGGTACTTCAGCCGGCGCTCCCTGATACTCCTCCGACTCTCTGCTGGGCTTCTCCTCCATGATCAGATCCTCAGGAAGAGCCGACAGCAGCTGGTGGGAGCTGGATTCACAGTGAAGCTGCGTCTCCGGGTCGATGTCCTGGTCCTGAGAGGGTGGGGCGGTCTTCAGGGTCTCTGCGTGGTTCTGGGTGTGTGATGTGGGCGCAGGTTTGAGGGTCTGAGGGTTGCAGGCCTGAGGTTGGGCTCTGAGGCTGGATGGCTGCTGCTGTTCCCAGCGTTTCTTTAAAAGACTGAGATTCCCGCTGCGCAGTGTGGAGGGAAGAGGTTCTGTGACCTGCAGATGAAAGAAACACTCAGCTGTTGTTTACACTCCGAGAAAATTCAATCCATTACCCTAAATGCATTTTAATCCTGGGTCAAAATAAAAAAGGTGGCTTTGTCTCCAAATCAATGAACATTGCATTAGTTTATAATTTCTGTCTCTAGTCTGTGGTTCTCAGCTCCTATCGCACCGAGTACTACTTAAAAACATACATCTTTGAAAAACGGCTCACAAATATAACGTTTCAGACTTGGCTAGTTTCAGTAGGAAAAATAAAATGCTAAGAGGAGGAAATATTACATTGGTCCATTTTCAGCGGCGAATGAATCCTTGTGGTAATTCGATTAGAATGAACTACAGTATGCGTTTGTTCCTGATAAGGACGGATCAGAGGAATCGTATTGATCAGGCTTTAGATATACGAAAAATAGTTAAAAAGGCTCAATTGTTTATCAAAAAACTTTGCAATATACTGGAAACACAAGGAAACAGTTTAAATATACTTCGCTTACTACCACTAAGAAACATATCGAATATTCATATTTGATCGCGACATCAAAATGTTTCGCATGTACAATTGATTTTCAAAATAGTTGCAAATTAGTTTTCGGGCAATTGAAAACTTAAGGCAAACAATGTTGCATCTTATTGTGTCAGTCAATAAAAAAAAGCATTATTCCAAGCATAGTAGATGAACAATGCTGCCAACAATATCCCTGACACTCAGGGCGAGGTCTTTGAAATTGCTCAGCTTGTCTGACCCACAATCCTAAACCACAGATATGTTCAATTAACTTTTATCTATGATATATGAAAATTGCTTAACAGCAGTAGTCTGATGCAGATGTGCAGTATATGAGCATGTAAGAAGTTTGGATAAATGATTTCAACAGAGCAGTGAGAAGATAAACCTCCAGCAACACAAACAGTCACATACCAACAAGTTAAATTGGATGACTCACTATTTCTGGTAATGCTTTGTCAGAGCAGACAAACCCACCGAGTAGCTGCTCTCTGAAAAGTCGTTTTTAGTTGCTTCAATGATTTCTATCAAAGTCAACCTGATCCTCCCACTTCTAAATTAAGCTAACACACAACTTTGTCAGCAAATCATGCAAGCAAACACTTTCACCTTTGAAAGAAGGGAGAAACAAAAAGACAAAGGGCTGCTCAGCATGCAAGTCTATAAACCTGAATCTGCTGGATACAGAACAAAAAGCTGGGAAACTTTAGGAAAAACCACAGAAGAAAGTAAAAACCTGAGCGAGACGCTGAAGACACGGCTGTCCGGTGTGGGTTGTCTGTTTAAAATCAATGTGTGTGTGGGTGTGTGGGTGTGTGTGCTGCCCGGCTACAAGCTGTCCCAGATGTGAGCGCCTTGAGAAGTGATCAGAGCAGCATGAAGTAACCGGCCCACCCCCCCTGCAACACGGGGAAAGGAAACAGAGAGGGAGTGAAGGGGGCGAGGGGCGGAGGGAGGAGAGAAAATCAGAACCAGAGACAGTGGGTGAGGGAGGGAGGGAAAATAAGTTCAGGAAATGAGAGAAAGGGTAAAAGGGGAGTGTGAGCCGGACCAAAAAACAAAGCTCAAAAAGAAGCTAAACCTGGATAAATAATCTCCTGATAAGACCTCGATGTTTGTTTTAGGAAATGGATTTGATAGCAACACCTACCCCGACTTATATACTTTTATACTTTTATACTTTGATTTTCCTTATTTTCTGAATGCCAGGAAAATGCTAAAAAACAGTCATTCGTTTACAGGAGCAACAAACCTAAAAGCCCTTTTTAAAAAATAAAAATGTCCACATGATGAGATGCATTAAACCTTCAAAAAAGATGTTATGTCTCCCCCCTCTGGCAGTAGGTGGAATTACACACGCCGTCATCACGTTTACCTGCAGGTGACCTCACTCTACATCAAAGCCTTATAAGGCAAAAAAGCAACAGTATGAAGGACCAGTGGTGAAAAGAAACCAAGTACATTTACTCAAGTACAATTTTGAGGTACTTTACTTTTTATACTCACTTATTACATTGAGAATGTTGTACTTTTAACTCCACTACAACAGTTTGAAAGTAACCAATTGCTTCAAGTTTTCATTAAAAAAAAACGTATGATCTAATAAAATATGACACATTACTATAAAACTTCAGCCTGTCCATGCAGGTGTTTTATAGCCGATTAGACGTTCTGAGGCTGGATTGTGATGTGATTACAGAACTGCATGCCATAATAATAATAAAGTTGGGATTTCTCTTGCCATAACAGCAACAGGAGAGTGTGTGAGGATGTGTGTGAGCCTGAATGTGCACACACCCCTACAATCATGAGGAATACAAACTTCATACCAGGTACAACATTTTGAATACAGATGAAGGGTGTACAATGTCTTTGAACTACACAACTGTTGATAAAGAAGCTGAAATTATGTCCAAATACGCCAGCCACAAATACACCACATTGCTTCAATCGCCATTACAGTTCGATTAACCTTTCCAAGAGTGACCTTATGAAAGTCTAGTAAAACTAAATAATTTGGCGAGAGAATTAATATGCTCGTGAATTACGGAGGCATTTTTGCCCAAGCTAAGTTTCTATGAGTCATTTTTTGCTTCCTGATACCAGTTCTTGACTTAAAAAAAAAAAAAAAGAAGACAGTTTTTGTTCTCAATAACCGTCATTTCCTCTACAAACCTGCATGACTACGGGAGAAGGACCACAAGAAGCTAGAACACTACTTGCCTTTAAAAAAATATATTTATATAGAGTCTTAAAATTCAGAACCCTTTAATATATCCTCAAACCACATATTGTTCTTCAGGATATTGGGAGTTCCATTATATTGTATCCTTCGAGTACCTTTATACTGAATTTACTTCATATCCTGAGTACATTTTGCTGATACTGTACCAATTTGCTCAGTCGAACGCAGGACTTTTAGATTTGTTGTAATATCAATACTTTTACTAGTCAAAAATTTGAATATGTCCTTAACCACTGTGAATTAGTATAGTCAGACATATGTAATATTAAATTAAAGTTACGTACCGCTTTCTTCTTCTCTGCATTTCCCTCCTCTGCTGCTATCTGGTACCTGAGAAAGAGGAAGAGGAAGAGGGTTTCGAGAACATTTAGTGTCAAATCATCACCACATTCTGCTGCTCAACCCACACACCCAGAAAGATAACATGAAGTATCCTTGCTCCGAAAACATTAGATCATTTCATGCATTACAAACGGAAAACATGTGACCCACTTTGAGATACAGAGCAGGAACAGGAAGTGAGAAGTGGTTTCAATGTTTACGTTTCACTTCTGCTTCAAAGCGATATCAAAGTTACAATCAAATGTTCTGTAATCGTTTAATTTGAAAAGTGAGATCTGAAGTGAAAAACCTTTAGTATTTGACAAGAAAGTTGCAATTATTACCAAAATATCTAAAACGTTCCTAATCAATCAGGTGACTCGAGTTTCATCGCATTGGATTAGGTGAGACTACAACACATCTTAAACGTAATAGTATATTTTGAGAATATGTTACAAGATTATGCATTTTACAGGATGTGGATCAGTGACAAATGTCCTGCTGTTTCTAAATAGTATTCAATATTATAATATACATCTGAACACAATAACTTGACCATTTCTTACACACATTGAGAAAGAAAAGAACTATTAGGCTTTAACAAGCTGTCCTCAAAGTTATTGGATGTGGGCTGCCATTTCATTGTTTTTTGATAAGGTTTAGAATTTTTCATTTTGTAATAAAATGCGTCTGAAAATACACTTGAAGACAAATCAGGAAATGTGTAATTGTTAAAAAAAAAACACAATTTTGATATGTACTCGACTTTGATGATGCGTTCATGACTTCCTGTTCCTGTGACGCCGTGTCCCAGCGGCTCCAAGAGCTTTTATTGCACAATTGTACTTAAAACAATTATTTTATTCTAAAATGGTGCAACTGTCACAAAACCTAATTCCCACACAGAATAAAAAAAGTGTTCTTATTCTCAATAAAATCTTTGTGCAATCATGTGAGCTAGTTTCCCTTTGCTGAATCACTGTCCAGCACCTATACAACACGGCTGACCAGTTATCCAACGCTGCCCATTTTTATTTTATAGCTTGTACAATGTACAAGTATGTTTACACATGGCACTACATGCTATTGTAGGCCCAGTTTAACATGCAAGTCAAGTGTATGAGTAGGTCGCAGAGGGTCTTCCAGCTGAATGTTGTTCACCTGCCTGAAAACATTGAAGACCCCTGCTGTAAGATGTATAGCCCTGAAGACAGAGCAGTACTAACTCCTAGTGGTCGGAGGGAGAAAGTGGAGAGGACCTATGTAACCTTCTCAATTGACAAATAAGTAACTTGATCTGTTTAACAAGTGAAAGAGAAAAAGCTTTGGATGATGGTGCTTTTATACAATCATCAGTATAACTCTGCAAAGTCTGTGAGCCAGAACTGACTGAGCTGATGGTGTAACTTTCTAACAGAAAAGGGGAAACTTAAAAACAGCTGATTAGCAATAAAGTGATTCGAGGAAGCCCGGTGACCTCATTTCCAAAGTGGCTGCTGGTGAATTATTAATGACCCTCGTGGTCTAAGCCAGAGAGAGCTAAAGTTAGACTTACTTTGAGAAGCGTTCTGCGATGGCGTTCTTTTTTCCCCGGGCGGAGATTATGGACAGCTCCTTGGCGGTGACCCTCAGCGACTGGGACGCCCACGGTCTGCGGCTGAACGGAGCGGCGGAGGCCATCTTTGTTGTACGTCTAGTCTGAGCTATCAATCTGTCTCTGCAGTTTTCCAGGAACACACGTCGTAACTCTGAAAAGGACACGAAAAACCAAAGTGATTAAACACATGCAGTAGATGATTTCACGTCCTCCTCTGCACTTTTGAAGAGTTAAGACTAGAGTTTAAGCTGAAATTAACACCCTTTATGTGCACATAACGCTTCAGAATAAAACAAATAATACATTTTAATTGGAGCCACCTTTCAGGACACCTTACAATGCTTAAAAGGAATACTTAAACACAAGCATAAAAAGAGCCTTACCACTTTTTTCATCACTTTTGTCTGTAGTTGAACATGCTTTAAATCAGATGTCCCAGTTAGACTGCTACCTCAGTACAAATCCTCACTCAGAAATCAATATTTTTGCCACATGACTGTCCGTGCAGCCTGCACCCGGTTTCTGAGTTAGAAAGTCAATAGAGCGCGTCACGCAGACATCGACCATCTGTTCCCTGTGCTCTAACTGAGCCTGCAGGGCGACTAGCAGCGAGACAACTGACACCTTCCCTGCAGAACAACATAGACCCTCCTGTACACACACACACGTCTCTACCTGCTTCTGCAACTTCAGAGGCTTGAGGCCGAGGGCATGCAGACACACGCGGCAGACCATTCAGCTTGTAATAAATAAGTAACTGTCATCTGTGAGTTATCCACGCTCCGGATGAATTAAACAATGAGGCCGACGAGCGGCTCGGTGAGGGCACAGCCTCCGGCCTCCACGTCACCCAGCAGGTGGACTATTGTGCCTTTTCCTGCCTCGTTAGTTTCTACAACACTGTTTCCTTTGTGTAAGAGTACTCAACAACTGGGAGTTTTAAAATAACTGCACAAGAAACATTTATGACAGAATGTGACATTTCTGCATAAAACAAAAAACCTAGCTATTCAGGCAGGCAGGATTATTTTTTATTGGATTTATTTAGTAATATTATCATCCAATTTGAAAAATGTTGATGTTTTTTGTGATTTTATTTATCAAGTGTAAATGTCACAATTTGTTTTATTATTCATATTTTTCACTTTTAAATTAATTTAATACACTTTCATAGTTTTTAGTATCTCGATTGCATTGGTCTCCCATTTTTAACTATTTATATTTTCAGACTCAATTTATTCTGTCTTATTTCCAGTTTGTCAGTCATCTGTAAAGCTCTTTAATCTGCACTAACTAACTAACTAACTAGGAAGGTACTTTGCATTTGATTAATTAATGATAAAAGCTATTTTCTGTATCAATACATTTACTTTTCAACATATTCTACAATTTAAAAGACAAGAGATGAGCAGATTGTGTATGTGGAAAGCCAAACCCATTAAATGTTTGTCACTTTTGCTTGAGATGTTGGCCCCTCCCACAGCGTGTCATATGTGATTAGTTAAATTACAACCCACTGTGGGAGTTCCCCAATTAGGATCTGCTGCTTCATTTTCTACAAGCACAATAATTTGGCAACTTTCGCTCTCAATCTTTGCCTCCTTTAATTAATTAGTTAATCACTTTCTTCCATTGATATACATTTAAATGCCCTGAACCAAATTTGAAAAATAGTTTGGCTCGTCAAATTAAAATACAAAAACATTTTTAAATGACAAAAGGAGGAACATCCTCACATTGAAAGAATGGCAACAGCGATTGTTTGAGAATCACTTCAGTCGCTCTCTATTTTACGCTTAGCATCACGACTTGTCTCGGAGACAAAGATGAAGCATGATAGTGACTCTGCCCAGAGTGCGATTCAGGTCTCCTCTGTCACAAGGTTTAGATTACAAACAAAGCAGCATGTAAAAGTGACCAAGCAAAGTTTTAAAAGTCATGTGTCAAAGGCAACAAAAAGGTCCTCAGTGTCACCATAAAATTACCCCTGAGGTTAAAAGACGACAACAGTTTCCTGATTTCAAAGAGGTGATAAGATATCATGTATGATTTCAAACGTCAAAGAAACACATGGTAAAATACATCCAAAGAAACCTGACATTTATCCACTTTAAGTAAAAAAGGAAGATGTCATAATTTAAAAATGCCTACCTCTGACTTTCTCAGCTGTTCTTCCTCCCTGATGTGTCTGTCAGTCGTCCGCTACTTGTATATTTCCTTCTCCTTTTCACTCCTCAGCAGCTGCCACCTTTTCTTTTGAGTAGACAGGGAAATAGGAGGAGTTCCCCACCGCTCCTATTTAACTCCTGCCGGCCAATGAAAGGAGTAGCATTCACCTCCACCTGGCAGGTAGGAGCTCGTCCAATCAGCAGCGTGAGCTCTCAGCAGCTGGAGGCATGTGAGACGAGCAGCCAACATGGCAGACAGGCAGCAGGGAGGAGGGGGAGGACAGAGAGGGGGAGGGGGATCCCACTCTGGATTCCTGGAAGTTGAGTAAACTACAGAGTGACTGACTGACTGCCTACTTTCTCACAAGGTCAGGACTTCAGAGGATGTGACTCATGCGCAATGCTGGATGACTGCACTAAACCAAAGGAAGGGGGAGTTAGAGAAATAAATTGAGATGCTACTTGAGGGTAAAATGTGTCTGCATTAACACGTCTAAAACAACTCCACATGCTATATATATTGTGGAGTTGTGAACTGAGATTATCCCAAATATTTCCATACATTTACAAACTTGTGATTTGTTGCAAATGTTGCATTTATCCAGTTTAAAGTCATGTTTTTACAATACACCTTTTAGATTTGGGTTGTTTCTTTAACTTGACTTTAACAGGGTGGAGGATTTAGGTCATATGACATGTGGGTCATAAGGTGTCAGAAAATCAAGCTGAGAAAACGTCATTACAGTCATACATCTTTTGAGAAAAACAGATGTTTCATTGTTTTGTTTGAGACACACTGACAGTTACACATGGTGGTTGTTTAGTGTATACCAGTTTGGTTAAACATACCATCAAGCCAGCGTAAAAAATAGATTCAAAGGAAATATAAGATGACTTTGTTGTTATTGTACAACCCAGGTTTGTGCAACAAGATTCAGTCATAGTCCAATACTGCAACATAAGAAGAGAAAAAAGCAACAACTATTATTTTGTTGTGGACTATGTAGAACAAGTTAATTATATCCTTGATGAATTTATTTAAGTAATTGATTTTGGTCTGTAAAACTTCATAAAACATAGAAAAAGCCAAATTACAACATCCAAAGTGATGTCTTCATTAACCTAACAGTCAAAATATTCAATGTTATGTCATTTAAGATTACAGATTCAGCAAAGTCGCACATATGGGAAGCCAACAATTATCAAAAAGAGACATTTTTGCTTGACTTTAATCCATTATGAAATAGTTGCAGGCTATTTGCTGTAAACTAATAATCACCTAATAGGTCTATACGCATTTGCCTTTTATTACTTTTAAACTAACTCCTCCTCTCTTCTCTCTTTTACATTTGTGTTTCAGGTGGCTCTTCGGCTCTGTTTGGCCCGTGAGACTTCCTGCTGCCTCAGTGTCACGTTAACAGTGGGTCGGTCTAACCCCAAACACATGACGGCTGTGGAGAGGCTCCATCTCACCTTAGAGATTCCTAACAACACAACTCAGGATCACTTTCAAGGTAAAAGTAAAAGTCTGAGTCATAAATTCCACACACTTTAGGTTTGTTTGCATCTGGCTTTCCCTTATCATTACCTCTCCTGTCACATGTCACATCCCCCCTTAGCACTTATCCCCCTCACCTGGTTTCCCTATAGCACCAACAGTGTTGGTTTCTTTAAGGTTATGGGTGTAAAAGTGTCAAACCTTTTGAGTTGTGTTACTTAAGATACACTTTACTAATCCCCAAAGGGAAATTCAGGTGTCAGAACGGCAACAGGAACATTATTTATATATTCTTGCAATTTATGTCGATTCCAAAAATCCCGCTGTAGCTATTTTGCTTTTTGAAAATAAAGCCTCTCAATCCTTTATTTAACCTATGGTAATGTATAGATGGGAGGCGTAGATAGGTAAAGTAGTGAGGACTCTGGCTTGACGTCTAGTTTTCTTTATCAGACGTTAGAACTTAACAGGGGGGGGTGAACATATGGTTTAGAGATCTATAGATTTGAAATAGGTTTTGCGGCACTCCATGGACCAGCAGATCACCCTAAACCCAGATTTCATGGCAATCAGAACAACACTTATCTTGTCTGTCATATATAAATAGGTTTTGGGGTGACAGACCGGGATGCTCTCTGTGAGGCCTGTGAAATGGAAAAGAATTGGGTTACTGAGTGCATCGTCCACTGCATAAAGTGTGTGTAGACGGCACTTTCCCAGCAAAGACTCTGCATTGTCATTCAAATAATAAACCATGTGTAACCAAAGACATCAAGGCCATCCTGAATGCAAAGAAGAGGGCTTTTAGAGATGGTAATAGGGAGGAGGTAAGAACAAAACAGAGTGTCCTGAAAGTTAATATCAGGGAGGCTAGACAACAAACCGACATCAAAGAACTAGCAGCAAAGGAGACGAATGTTGCCTCATGTTTCCTGCGTCTTGACCAAAAATGTTGCAATTGAACACATCGCAAAGTTTACAGCCAAGTAACCATCATATGTTGAAATGAGAAATAGGCCTATTGATGCTTCTCTCTCTCAAATAGAGGATATAAACTCAATACTTGACATTTTGGAATGTTGGTAAGACAGAATAGAACAATTGAAGGTCTCAACTTGGGCTTTTTGAAATTGTGGCTGACAAATTTAAAAAGAAATTCTCACAAAAAAGATTCTACTGATGAATCAAACATGAAAGTAACCATCTTTGTTACAGACAATGGTAGAAGAAGTACTCAGATATTTTAAGTGGACATAGAAATCTGTTACAGCTTCGGTTGCAAATGCCGAAAACATTTAAGAAGCAAACGTTCTACAGTGAATGATTGATAATTTATGCAAATGAATGGGAAATGACAGGAATAAATTGGTAATATAGGGATTATCTGCACAGGCTGTATTCCCCATGTCACATTCAGACATAATGCATTAAATAGCCAATAAAACACATTAATTTGTCAAGCAGGCTACATACAGTGAGACATGTGCCATGTGGTCAGATAGCTCAAATTTGATCCTATTTGCAAACTTAAGGTTTTGAGGGAACAACTAATTCTTAAAAAAAGGGTTTAAGGTGGAGAAAAATGTGAATACATTTAGTAAAACCTTTGTTAGCAGGCACAATTAAGCTACATCCAGCTACATCCCACATGGTAACAGCTAAGGTTAGCGAGCAAAAACTAGAAGAAAGTGTTAACACATTATGAACTATACCTTGCTTTATGAACTACCTGCTGTTTCACTGAAATATCATTCAAATACATCCAATATATTCACTGCAGTTGTATAATAATAACTTACATTGAAAGCATGCAGTCCTTGGCTCAGACAGAGCAGGGGTGTTGGCAGCATTGTGGCTGCACATGTGATCAGAGAATGCACTGTGCATGGAGAGGACGGTCATCCTCTGGAATTCCTATTTAATTGAATTAAAATGATCTGTAGATGTTAGAGAAGAATGTGCTGCTGAATGCACATGGTTACAATTAATATGGCACATTTGAACTAAAACATGGCGTAAGACTTTTTGTTTTCTGTGTCCCTGGAACAATTTCTATTTAATGGCACATTAATTATATTGGAATAGAAATTCCAAAAATCCTAAACTTAACTTCCCTTTGGCATTTTCCAACACCTTGCAACACCAGTTACATATCATAGTTCTCTATTCAAAACAATAATTAAAAGTAATTGCATTAAAAGTAAAAGTACTCAAAATGCAGATGGGCATATTTTAGAATAGTTCACAGTATATAATTGGATAGGAATTATTAATGCAATATTGTTTATATCATTTTCATGTTGCATCTGGTAGAAGTGGAGCTAATTCCATCAACAAATGTTTTAACTGACTTCAAAATAAATGTAGTGAATTAAAAAGTACAGCATATGGCAAGTATGCCGACCTCCAAAATCTGTTTTAAGCTCCCTACAGTACTAGAGAAAATAATATTCCCACCAAAGACTACAGAGGGCATGTGACTGCACGTCTGTACACAATGACACACAATACATCAAGCCTATGACCAAATGATGCTTTAATATGACCCAGTTACATGTTAGACAATGAGCTACACAAACACCACAGTGCAAGCAGGGACACGCTCATCAGATATGAAATCATCACTCGCTGCGTCGTGACTCAAAGGATCAGTCCTCCGTCACCTTCACAGTCATCTGTCCAAGCAGACACCTGTTGCGATGCACAGATAATCTGCAGATGGGTGTAAAACAAAACAAAAGTGAATCAGATAACTGATCTGCCTACAAACAAAACAAATTGTGTCAACATTTTTCCAAATGTGCTCTTCTTTGTTGTTTGTTCTGACAATTATTATCAAACAGCCATCTGCAATTATTTAGTAGAGTGCAATTTATCGTTAAAGTTCAACAAAAAGAAATGTTCAACACAATCATGACTTTGGCAAATACCCAGTCCATGTTGCAATATCTACTGTTTGGGAATGTCTCAGAGGGGAATTCAGACGTTACACATCAGATTATCCTTAACAGGAAGTAGAAATAAACTGTTAAACAATGTAATTTAGAGGTTTTTGATTAAAGTCTCAGTCTGAAAAAAGTAATCAGGGTTATCTCGGCTTGAGCGTCAGGGTCTAACATGAAGATATTGGTTGATTTTTGCCAAATATGGGCAAAAGGTCAATGTCTCAGCCTCTGCTGCTTTGATTTGGACTAATATTTCCTCTTGCAAGTTCACCAACCTTGACACCACTTATTCACTGGAGTTCCACATCTAAAACCGAGTTTATTGCCATGTCAGCAGCTATGTGAGGTTCCAGCTCATCGCCAAGAAAACCAAACTGTTCGAGCTGAGGTTCAATATATTTATGAACTAGACAGTACATAAGAATAACTGTCTTGGTTATACATCTTAGGTCGTAGAGTATACAATGGAAATGGATACTTGAGTTGATGTACTTTACAGGCGGATCATTACATGAGCTCGCAGACAGGTTGTTCTCCAGACTGTGAGACAGGTACTGCTCAGGTGAACTCTGACTCACCATCTTGACTCGACAGGAAGGAGCTGAACTATGATCGATCTTGTTAACACATGTTTCCTCAATTACTTCATTTTTGCCCAATTTTATGACATCATTGTTAATACTCACCTGAACTGCGACAGGTGGTCTATCAGAACTCACTCACCT